GAAAGGAAAAATGGTAATTTTATTTTCAAAAATGAGAAGATGCTGTTCAAAATCCATTGCAATTGAGAAAACACTGCGAGTGGCCAACAATCCGACACGTCCTATCAGTGACCTTGCCACCCGTGTCCAAGGTGACTTCTTTTGTAACTTCTACTGCGGTTTGTCTCTTTTCTTAGGAATGCGGTCCAATTCAATTACATGTACGCGATATGCGGTCTATATTGACTGCTTGCTTATTACTGTAAACTCTAATATACGTCGTTAGAACGGCGTGTTATTGTGTGCTACTGTCAACTCGAATATGCGTCGTTAGTTTCGTATACTTACCTCTTAACTCAGCTGTTCGATTTCTTTTTTAATCATACGTACAAGCATGGACTTAGATAACATCTAATCTAATTCCGTGGTACAGGTGCACGTGTACGTCCCTTAATTATATCTATATCTATATGTTATACTCCACACGCAGAGACCAAAATGGCTTTAATGCGGGCTTTTATCCCCTCTATAGAAACTTATTGTTAGGGTTAGATATCTTGGTATCACACAACTGTTCACTTTTAAATCAATAAATAGATTCAAATTATCCCGGGTGTGATTGGCTCTCCTCTCCATGTGGCATTCAATTCGTAGTACATATATAAAATTTACTTAGGATATATAAAATATATAAAAGCACCATAAATTTGTCAGTTATCAGACAGGAATTTTATCATTTACATATAAAATCCAGTGGCGGATCCAGAGGGTTTTTTGGGCTTCAGGAAACCCCCCATCCTGAGAATTTTCTTTAAAAATCATGTATTTTCACCATTTTCCTCAATTTTTCCCCACATGGAAACACCCCCAAATAGGTCTCTGGATCCACCACTGCACTGTAGATGTACAACAAAGAAAATCTTAGGAAACTGTCTCTTTTCATAGCATCATAGCACAAAGAATAAACATGCTGTGCATTCATTTTGTATGAACATAAATATTTTATATGTAAATGTTNAGGTGATGGTCTTTGCCTGTTCCAGGATCTTTTTTCCATTATTCCGATTCCGATCCCTCAAAAACACATGACGTAATTTGGATACACTAATTATAAACTTGCACTTTAATTACGGTACAGTGTATCTAGCTGTCCGATGTCTCAATAAAAATAGTTCATCAGGGTTAAAGATGTCAATTTTTTTGCGACCAAAATGATTTATTATCTAAAGTTCGTTTAAATTCCCCCTAGTTGAGCCTCATGTTCTATTTGTCTAGATCATTGAAACGCTTACGTCTAGCAAAACTAGTAAAGCGTGTGTCTGACAAAGGCAAGAATGACAAGATGGCGCAAATCAAAACATAACAACCACGTGTCAAAATGTCAAACCGAAAGTATACGTATGATGCATCATCAAAACACATCACATGTCAACTGGGACATGCATGTTAAAACGCTATATACATTAATTGACTACTGCCTGTCAAACTGTCTCGTGAATGTTGAATCGACGCAAGGCTATCATATCAAGTTCTAATCTGGCAAATGTGGTGACAATAATATTACTGTAAACCCAAAACTATATATTGAAATATAAATCGACATCACTTGACTATTATTTATTCCGTGTCATTATTAGTAATCAACAAATTAATAAATGTGATTTTGTTTTCACCCCTGAAAAACTGAAGTGAATTTGTCAGAGCTGTATGAATAGTTAAACAATAAGCATACAGAGTGCCTATGATTAGTACGCACACAAAAAAAAGAGCTTTTTATATTGAAATACATAATATGTGCACTTTGAATTCTTGTTTCTGAACGATTTCAATTCTTAGCATGTTATTTTCACAGGTTAGATACTACTGCAGTTAAGTTCATTTGAAGTTTAACTGAGCTAATGTTTATAAGCAATTGTTGAGATTTATAAATCGTAATAAAGAGTTGGTGGTACAGTAGTTGTTTCAATCATGCCTTATCAGTCAACAGCCAAAACTATTTTCCCAAGGATTTGGGACCCATCAAATATATGGCTGATAAGTCATGAAACAGCTGTTTTGTCACCTAACTAACATGTCCAATGATAAACAAACAATTAAGAAGAGGTTGGGTAAGAATTTACTATTTCAGTAGGGGTGTGTTCGTTGCTTGCTTTTTTATAATACTGGCATTATATGTTTCTGTTTTAGGGGGCAGTGGTCTGAGGAGCAGTTTCATCTTTATTCAATTGTACTGAATATTATTATTCTTATTCCCATGCAGGCTTGTGTGATCATGCAGATACACCTGTAAAAGTGCTCCTGTTGTTTGCTGACTAGGAAAACATGATGGACATGGCTTTATGTCAACGCCTATTCAAGTGTGTCCATCAACACACTGTTTCATTCGCAGCAATCTGTTTCATCTTCAACAAGCAACATTACAGAGGCATCAGCACAAATGACCTGTCTAAAGAAGATCAAGCAGCACTTTATGTCCATGTAAGCACACTAATGACGTGTCTATTGAATACCAATGAAGAACTATATAAACACAGAACGTTTATAAAATTAATTGATTATTTTTGGTGAACACACTATTTTTCTTCGTTCTTCATTTTTTTAGGATGAAATTTATAAACACATCATATTACATATATAGCTATTTATAAATGATCACATAGATGCAGCACATACTCTTGTATCATACTTTTTTGTGTGATATTGTCACAATGACCTCCAAATGCAATTACCATATTGATTACAGGCGAGTCAGTATATATGATCACCCCAATTTACAAGTGAAACACTCTTATCATCCCAGAACTGTGTTCAATACACCTGAACCATGAACATATGGAAATACATGAAAGAAATTGTAATCGCCAAATAGAAATATCTCATGTAGCAGTTGATGTAACAGTTTATTTTGGTATGCACCTTATGTAATTACACCAAATGTGACATCAGAATTTAGACTATAGACATGATTGTCATAGCATTGTGATGTCACATTGAAGACAATGGACATGAAGTAAAATAGCAGCATTGAAATACCAGACTGGACAATGGTGAGGGGATACATGTTTGTTAATTAATATTCCTATAAATTCTTAGATATGTAAAATAAGTATTTTGGATGGTTTTCATTTGATATAGAAGATCAATACTACACTCATCACAAACTTTTTAGATTGGCAGGGCATTTCAAGACTTTCACAAATCACACATGAACTGAAAACTCATTTAATATTCTAGGCCGGCATGTATTCATTAATATAATCCATATATTCAATTAGTATATGGTTACCAGAATGATTATCCAAATACAGGTCACATTTGAAATATGTAAAAATGTAAAAACTGATTTCTGTCGCAAGTTTCTTTTTACTTTGTACTGTACATGTTATTCTTATGGGTATGAAATGTAAGTTTCAATTGTCAGCCGTTTATGTATTTATAAATGTCAAGCATGTATTTGCAGTGGCCATATTGTTCCAAGCGATGTACATACTGCAACTTCAACAAATATATCAGGTAAGTTTTCTTTATGACACTTAAATAAAGGTAATCTAGCCAGCAATAACTACTTTCTTTTACAGGGAAATATGACAGTGTTAAACCATCCTCTATATTTTGTATTGTTGTTTAGTCCCTGTCAAAATTAGTGTATGTATCATCAATCAATATAGAAATACATGTAGACATCTAAATATAAATGTTTATTTACAATCGAACATTGGTAGAATTTAGGTGATCATTCATTTCAATGTTAAGCCTGATGTGTATAGCTTCAGGGTTTTTGTTCCAGTCGGAATGTAGACAATATACGGATGACAAAGTGCCTTGCTAAGGAGACAAAAACCCTCATGGAATATAGCAGAGTCAGCAGAATCAACTCCATTTTCTTTGGCGGAGGTTTGTATGTATGTTAATTCATCAAATGATACTTTATTGTATCTAAATGTTGTTCTGTTAGAAGTCTTACAGCAGCTTGCTCCCCATGTTTATGTGTATATATTCGTACATGTGCCTGATCGTACATTCCATTGTGTTGTTAATTTAAACTTTATTTCATTCCAAATTAAGTTGCATTACATCACATAACATACAAAGTACATGTTAGGCATCAGATGTACATGAATACCTCGGGTCATATTACCTAAAGTCCACTTGTATTTAATTATGACGAGTTTCATTGCAACAGTACTACTTATATAAAGTGTCAACTCATTGTAACTTGATATCATGGACAAAAACATAAGATCTCATCATGTCGTTATTCTGACAAAGGGCTGGAAAAGATGTCACGGTAAATGGACATCAACAGTTTAATAGACATCAACAGGTAAATAGACATCAACAGGTAAATAGACATCAACAGGTAAATAGACATCAACAGTTAAATAGACATCAACAGGTAAATAGACATCAACAGGTAAATAGACATTACAGACAGGTTAACAGACATCAACAGGTATATAAACATTCACATGTTAACAGACATCAACAGGTATATAAACATTCACATGTTAATAGACATCAACAGGTATATAAACATTCACATGTTAATAGACATCAACAGGTAGATAAACATTCACATGTTAATAGACATCAACAGGTATATAAACATTCACATGTTAATAGACATCAACAGGTATATAAACATTCACATGTTAATAGACATCAACAGGTATATAAACATTCACATGTTAATAGACATCAACAGGTATATAAACATTCACATGTTAATAGACATCAACAGGTATATAAACATTCACATGTTAATAGACATCAACAGGTATATAAACATTCACATGTTAATAGACATCAACAGGTATATAAACATTCACATGTTAATAGACATCAACAGGTATATAAACATTCACATGTTAATAGACATCAACAGGTATATAAACATTCACATGTTAATAGACATCAACAGGTATATAAACATTCACATGTTAATAGACATCAACAGGTATATAAACATTCACATGTTAATAGACATCAACAGGTATATAAACATTCACATGTTAATAGACATCAACAGGTATATAAACATTCACATGTTAATAGACATCAACAGGTATATAAACATTCACATGTTAATAGACATCAACAGGTATATAAACATTCACATGTTAATAGACATCAACAGGTATATAAACATTCACATGTTAATAGACATCAACAGGTATATAAACATTCACATGTTAATAGACATCAACAGGTATATAAACATTCACATGTTAATAGACATCAACAGGTATATAAACATTCACATGTTAATAGACATCAACAGGTATATAAACATTCACATGTTAATAGACATCAACAGGTATATAAACATTCACATGTTAATAGACATCAACAGGTATATAAACATTCACATGTTAATAGACATCAACAGGTATATAAACATTCACATGTTAATAGACATCAACAGGTATATAAACATTCACATGTTAATAGACATCAACAGGTATATAAACATTCACATGTTAATAGACATCAACAGGTATATAAACATTCACATGTTAATAGACATCAACAGGTATATAAACATTCACATGTTAATAGACATCAACAGGTATATAAACATTCACATGTTAATAGACATCAACAGGTATATAAACATTCACATGTTAATAGACATCAACAGGTATATATACATTCACATGTTAATAGACATCAACAGGTATATAAACATTCACATGTTAATAGACATCAACAGGTATATAAACATTCACATGTTAATAGACATCAACAGGTATATATACATTCACATGTTAATAGACATTAACAGGTATATAAACATTCACATGTTAATAGACATCAACAGGTATATAAACATTCACATGGTAATAGACATCAACAGGTATATATACATTCACATGTTAATAGACATCAACAGGTAGATATACATTCAAATGTTAATAGACATCAACAGGTATATAAACATTCACATGTTTATAGACATCAAAAGGTATATAAACATTCACATGTTAATAGACATCAACCGGTATATATACATTCACATGTTAATAGACATCAACAGGTATATAAACATTCACATGTTTATAGACATCAAAAGGTATATAAACATTCACATGTTAATAGACATCAACCGGTATATATACATTCACATGTTAATAGACATCAACAGGTATATAAACATTCACATGGTCATAGACATCAACAGGTAGACATTAACAGGTGAATATTAGCAGGTGAATATACATCAACAGGTAGACATGAACAGGTGAATATTAACAGGTGAATAGACATCAACAGGTAGACATTAACAGGTGAATATTAGCAGGTGAATACACATCAACAGGTAGACGTGAACAGGTGAATAGACATCAACAGGTATATATACATGAACAGGTAAATAGACATCAACAGGTATATATACATTAACAGGTAAACAGACATCAACAGGTATATATATATATAAACAGGTGGTAAGACACCAGCAGGTATATATACATTAACAGTTAAATAGATATAAACAGATGGTTAGACACCAGCAGGTATATATACATTAACAGTTAAATAGATATAAACAGATGAATAGACATGAACAGGTAAATAGACATCACCAGGTATATATAGACATGAACAGGTAAATAGACATCACCAGGTATATATATATACATTGACAGGTAAATAGACATCACCAGGTATATATATACATTGACAGGTAAATAGACATCAACAGGTATATATATACATTGACAGGTAAATAGACATCACCAGGTATATATATACATTGACAGGTAAATAGACATCAACAGGTATATATACATTAACAGGTAAAAACACATAAACAGGAAACAACGGTACACTTGAAGTAGGTTGCTGATAAAGACAGTAGGAGCAATACCTTCAGGAAGTTGCCTCAATTCTTTAAAAAAAAAAAAATGTAAGATAAGTATAAAGACTGGTACTTTGATTTTATCTTGGATGAAATTGATTGTAAAACAGGACAACCTTCTTGTCCTACAAAACTACATTACTGTGACATTATATAACATCATATAGAAATGTAGGTTATGCATCAATGTAAATCCACAAGGTCATAGAATTTGCTTGAATAATTTGACAATTTCTTAGCCATGATTTCAATTAGAAAAAGAACATGTTTCATATGATGAAAGCATCCTTAACCTCATCATCAACTGTTTATGAAAATGTTTTGGTTCCTTGTTGCTGACAATAAATTGAATCCACTGATCTTTTACCACAAGTTGTCCATCTCTTTGAATAAGGGACAGGTAAACTTACTGTACGAAGGAAAATTCATTCATTACTGTCATATTAAGTTTAAAATCATCTGGTTTGATGAATTAGGAACACCCAGTCTTGCTGAGCCAAAGACAATAGCAACGGTAATTGAAACTGTTAACAAGACAGGACAGCTGCTGCATCCAGAAGCAGAGGTCACCTTGGAGGTTAACCCCACTCTCCTGGAGACTGGAAAGTTGAGGTTAGCATGATGTACTGTTAAAACTTGATTTATTGGGCAGTTACATTCCCCCTCTTCCTCCCAATTTAACTTTATACTAAAATTATTTATTTTCAGAAAGAAAAAGTGTTCTTACTCCCCATTCCCCCTATCCCTTCCATTTAAATTTGTACATAATTGTTTATTTTCGGGGGGGAAAAGGTTTCTTACAGTTATCTTACTCCCGACCTCTCTCCCATTTAAGTTTGTTCTAAAATTATTTACTTTCAGAAAGAAAAAAAAGATTTCTTTCTCTCCTCTCCATCCCTAAAAAAGTGTTTCTTTTTACTTTCACACCCAACCTTCATTCCATTTAAATTTGAACTGAAAATATTTTTAAAGAAAAAGTTGTTTCTTCTTTTACACACAAACACCCTTCCATTTAACTTTGTACTACAATTATTAAAACAGAAAAAAACTGAGTTTCCATTAATGTCACTTTTCACTTGATATCGCATTTTCCTCTAACGTATGACATTCAGAGAAATGTACCATATTGACTCTGATACAATTTTTAGCTCACCTGGTCCGAAGGAACATGGTGAGCTTATGCCATCCTGCAGCGTCCGTCGTCCGTCGTCCGTCGTCTGTCCGTCCATCTGTCAACTTTTGACTAAATTTGGTCTGGAGCATCCTTAGGCCAAGGGGACTCAATTTTGTATAGATGGTTGGTGAGGCCCCCTGTTGGCAGAGGGGCGGGGTCCAATAGGGGAAATAGAGGTAAAACCTTCAAAATCCTTCTTTTACCGTAGGGATTAAGGGATTTTATCCTAATTTAGTCTGGAGCATCCTTGGGCCAAGGAGACTCAATTTTGTATAAATGGTGGGTGTGGCCCCCCTTGGGGCAGAGGGCCGGGGCCGAATAGGGGAAATAGAGGTAAAACCTTCAAAATCCTTCTCCTGCCCTAGGGATTAAGGAATTTTATCCTTATTAAGTCTGGAGGATCCTTGGGCCAAGGGGACTCAGTTTTGTATAAACCGTGGGTTTGGCCCCCCAAGGGCCTTAGAGGCGGGGCCCAATAGGGGAACATAGCAAATTATTCTTTAAAATCCTTCTACTTCTGTAGGAATGACAGGATTTGGTCCATATTTGGTGTTTAGCAGCCTTGGGTTAAGGGAAAACAATTTTGTATAAATGGTGGCTCTGGCCCCCTTGGGGGCTGAGGGGGCGGGGCCCAATATGGGAAATATAGCAAATTCTTTAAAATCCTTCTTCTTCTGGAGGAATGAAAAGATTTGGTGGGGAGCATCATTGGGTAAAGGGGAACCAATTTTGTATAAACGGATGGGGTGGCCCCCCTGGAACCTGGGGGGCTGGGTCCAATAGGGGGCAATAGAGGCAAAAACTTTAAAATCCTTCTTCTTCTGGAGGAATGAAAAGATTTGGGGTGGAGCATCATTGGGGAAAGGGGAACCAATTTTGTATAAACGGTTGGTGTGGCCCCCCTGGAACCTGAGGGGCTGGGTCCAATAGGGGGAAATAGAGGTAAAAACTTTAAAATCCTTCTTCTACCATAGAGATTAAGGGATTTTATCCTTCCTTGGGCAAAAGGGACTCAATTTCATATAAACAGCGAATGTGGCCCCCCTGGAGGCAGAAGGGAGGGACCCAATAGCGGAAACATAGCAAATTCTTCAAAATCCTTATTCTTCTGTATGTATGACAGAATTTTGTCCAAATTTGGTATGAAGCATCCTTGAATGAAGGGGAATCAGAGGGGCGGGGCTGAATAGGGAAATAGAGGTAAACCTTTAAAATTCTTCTTCTACCATAAATATTAAAGGATTTTATCCAAATTTGGCCTGGAATATCCTCAGGCAAAGGACTCACAATTTTGTATAAACGGGGGGTTTGGACACCCTGGGGGCAGGGCAATATTGGGGAAATAGAGGTTAAAGCTTTGAAATCCTTTTTCTACCAATACGGATGAAGGGATTTTATCCCAATTAGTTCTAGAGCACCCTTCTTGCAATGGGGACTGAATTTTGCGTAAATGGAGGTTGTGGCCCCTCTGGGTGCAGAGTTGTGGAAATAGAGGTAAAATATTGAAATGCCTTCTTTTACTGTAGGGATGGAGGGATTTTATCCTTATTTAGTCTGGAGCATCATCGGGCCAAGGGGACTAAATTTTGTATAAATTGTGGATGTGACCCCCCTGAGGCAGAGGGGTGGGTCCAAATAGGGGAAATAGAGGTAAAACCTTTAAAATCCTTCTTCTACCATATATGGATTAAGGTATTTCATCCCAAATTGGTCTGGAGCATCCTTGGGCCAAGGGGCTCAATTATGTAAAACAGTGAGTTTGGACCCCCTGGGGGCAGAGGGGCAGGGCAAAATAGGGGAAATAGATGAAAAAGATTTGAAATCCTTCTCCTAACATACGGATGAAGGGATTTTATCCCAATTAGTTCTAGAGCATCCTTCTTGCAAGGGAATTCAATTTTGTATAAATGGTGTGTGTGGCCCCTCTGGGTGCAGAGTTTTGGGGCCCAATAGGGGAATTTGAGGTTTAAGTCTTCAAAATCCTTGGATGAAGGGGACTAAATTTTGTATAACAGAGGGTGTGGCCCCTCTGGCTGCAGAGTTGCAGGGTCCATTAGGGGAATTTGAGGTTTAAATCTTTAAAATCCTTCTTCTTATGAACCATTGGAGGAATTTTATGTAATAAGAATAATTTCCCATCGTAGATTTATTATCCAGGTGAGCGATACAAAAAAACTTTCAAGACAATGAAAATTTTGTTTAAATCTCAAACAAATTTTAATTTGGCTAGTAAGAAGCAACTTATTATTTTGTTTGTGTTTGTTTTATGTATCATTGATTCAATAGAGATTTGGGACTTTATTTATGATTTTATTTTCTGTTCCTGTCTAGGGAGTTCAGGGCCGCTGGTGTTAACCGAGTGTCTATTGGGGTACAGGTACATATACTTACTTGGTCATTTCATGCAATGTGAACATTTTCAGTTTAAACATTTCTTCACTTCTATACTTACAATCCTGCATTTTTCATCATTTTGTATTGAAGTATTTATTCCAAATTAAACCAAATAATTGAGTGAAAGATAAACACAATTGTAGTGCAAGCCAGTGTTATAAATTAAACCAAATTCTTTATTTCATAATTTGTGCTATATCATATACTTGCATACTCTTTAAGGAGTAACTTTAGGAGAATACTAGGAGAATCTTCAGGGCAAAATCTGAAAACGTCTTAAAGGCACTTGCAATATGTCTATTTGACAAAAAATAGTGCAAAACGCTTAAGATAATGTATGCTGTGAATGATTTTATTTTAACAAAAAGTAGGAATTGTGAAAAACAAGGGTGAAAAGTCAAATATGAATCTCCCTCCAAAATGATAGACTTTACAAGTTTGTGTTTTATTGGTATAATATATTTTCATATGAGTTGTTTATAAATCAGCCTGTTACTAAGATTCTGATAAATTCATGTTGCAGGCTTTAAATGACACAGACTTAAAGGCTTTAGGCAGAGAACACAGTTCACTGGATTCCATGAAGTAAGTGAAGTACAAAGCCTGTTAGATTAAGTTATACATGTATTGCTAATCAGCATCAACAGCTAGAGGTGATGCAGAACTAGATGAAGATGAATTACTTGTATTTTTGGGAGGTTTTGAGGCACTTGTTACTGTCAACTCTTAATTAACTACTCTCACAAAAACTCTGCAAAGGTGTTGGCTAAATCAATGGGAAAAAATATAACAAATCCATAAAGACGTCTCTCATGATCGTGCCTTCTTCTCTGAATTCTCCAGAGACTGCCGCCTTCTTGTCAGATATCAAATATGAATGTAAAGATACTTTAAAATTTCAACAGTGCAAAGACAGAAATTTTGTTTGCTTTAATTAATGTTTTGTTAGAGAACCCGGCAGTCAGGTCAAAGAGTGAAAATTGTCACAGTGTCTGTACATCAATTTTCAATCCATTAACTTCTAAATCAACATTTTAATGAAATATAATACTGAATACATGTACATGTTTTGTATCTGTAGGTGTGTCACAGATACCACTGCCCTGATTCAATATCAGTTTTTAGCTTGATGTCAAAATAATAATATTGTTCTTTGATGTTTCGTGTGTGAAACTGTTGAGGGAAATATGAGGGGACGTGTTATAACTAGTTTTCCATGGTAATATCTGATACAAACTATTATAAGTGTTCAGATTAATGAAGACATACAGTCTGTCCACGAAAAGGAGTAAAACCTGTAATGTACAGCGGAAGTCACACAGGATAAGATACCAGTCACAGTAATGAGAGTCTAGATTTATACAAAGTACCATATCCTTATACATACCACCCTTGTGGTTAAGCCGAGCCGATCAAGTACTTCCTGTGTATCACCTCATGGACCATCTCACTTGGTTTAATATGACTCTACAAATACTAACAGCAGTGACAGTCTGTACAAGGGCTGTTGTCATCTTAATATATATTATCCTTCACTGAAATAAAGGATGTTGTAGTGCGGGTTGATTATTCTGCACTTTTTTTCAGAAATGATGAAAATGGGGATTTTTTTCAATATACATGTATTTACATTTGTCATTAGCAAAATGAAATTGCAATGTCCCTCATTGCATAAACAGCCATATTAATGTATCATGATAGTGATAGTCATTTATCAAATTAACCACAAATCTTGAAAGATTTGAACCACAGTTAATTACATTTATATGACATATTGGTCATTTCCATTTTACCTTTTGAATAAATGTATCAACTTTATATACTGATTTGAATATTTTGTATTTTGGAAAACAAAGTTTCAAAATCTTATGTAAAAAACAATGATTAGTAAAGATGAAGTCAAGTGTGAGCAGATCAGTCAACTTTATTAGTCAAGGGGTTCCCGGGGGGGGGGACTATAGGTTTGCACCCTTCCGTCTTCCGTCCTTCCTTCCGTCCAAGAATTTTGTCCAAGACATGTCTTCTATACTTTTTCACCTGAAGTAACCAGATTTGGTGTACAAGGACATCTTGGGATGGCGGAGTGCAGAGTGCAAGAAGAAGGTCACTATGACCTCACTGTGATCTATGCTTTGACCTTTGACCTTACCTTTTGAAAAAGTTTGTCCGAGATATATCTTCTATACTATTTCACCTGGAGTAACCAAATTTTGTGTACAAGGTCGTCTTGGGATGATGGAGTGCAAGAATTAGGTCACTGTGATCTATGACTTGACCTTTGACCTTTACTTTTGAAAATGTTTGTCTGGGGCATATCTCCTATACTATTTCACCTGGAGTAACCAGATTTGGTGTACAAGGAAATCTTGGGATGGCAGAGTGCAAGAAGAAGGTCCCTGTGACCTATGACTTGACATTTGACCTAAACTTTTGAAAAAGTTTGTCCGGGGCATATTATCTATACTATTTTACACGGAGTAACCATATTTGGTGTAGAAGGACATCTTTGGATGGCGGAGTGCAAGAAGTAGGTCACTATATCCTCACTGTTGCCTATGCTTAACTGTTTGTTAAATATAGAAATCATTAATGTTGGGGACCTTGGATTGCCTTGGAATACTCTGCCTTGTTTACTTTAAAATAATAGTACATTTAAATAGGAAGTACTTTTCTGATTCTAAAATGGTCTCCATTCTGGAAGATGACATGACAGCACCCATAGTTTAGTGCATCATTGTAAAGGGATAATTCATATAAGCTATTGTGTAAATCTTCTGTATATATATATATATGTTACTGAACTTCTTGGTAATCTATTTTAGAAACAATTCAAAATTTACATTATAAATAACCAGAAGTATAGTATAAAATATGAACAGGACTTGGACAAGACTGAAATCTCAAGGAGATGAACAACAGGTAATTATTATTGTAGATTCTATGTCTGCCCCCATGTCCTGGCTGAATTATTGATTTGTCTGCTATGATTGATTACCTTAATTATACCTTTAGTATATATTGTTTAGGTGTATAGAGGAGGCAGTCAGTCTGTATCCCGGACAGGTGTCTGTAGATGTGATCTTTGGTCGGCCAGGTCAGACCCTCGACAGTTGGATCACAGAGCTCCAACATGTAAGATTCAGATACATGCACCAGTAGTCTAACAGTTCTAAACAGATGTTAAAGTTTTGAAATCTAGTAAAAACATGGACTTTTCAGAGGTGTTATGCCCTGCCAAATATTTATTACAGCTCTTACCGGAAGAGTCTTTTAGATTGGACTCAAAGCGGTAGGTTCTTCTTAATTTCTTGATACATATACCTGTAATAGACACTTTCGTCGATTTAGCACTGACTGTTATACTTAAAGCTTACTTCAGACAAAAACAGATTGAGCAAACCTATTTACTAGCAGACCAACCAAACTGTGATTATGTATACATTATTCATATAACAGTAGAACATTTTCAACTAACGGAATAGGTTCTCAGATTGAGTTTTCCAGGTTTTTATAATTCTGAATCATTTTACTTTTGTTATAGGTGCTGTCTGTGAGTGACAAACATATTTCTCTATACCAGCTGACTCTAGAAAGGGGCACACAACTCTTCAAGTGGGTCGAAAGTGGACACATGGTAAGTGTCCAATTTCTACAGATTTCTTTATCATGGAGGCACGGTAGTCTAGTGGTAGGACGCCAGGGCTCATGACTGAAGGGTTGTGGGTTCGAGTCACATCACGGCACTGTGTTGTATCTTTGCACAAGACACTTAACTGATCCGCTTGTTCCAGTCGACTCAGCTGTAATTTGAGTATGTGGTTGGGCAGTGCTAGAATTGTTGAATGCTAGCTGTGAGCGTTGAAATGGTAGCACCGGCTGCATGCTACCCAGGGAGTTGAGAACGATATTGGATGGTTGCAAAGGTCCTATAACCACGAATAATAATTTGTGAACCACTTTGAGACGACCTAAAAACTAGGTTGTGATAAAACGGTATATAAGAACCTCAAATTGTTATTATTATTAAATTTCTATCTTCATATCATTGAGACTTTACTTAACCTTTTTACCCCTATGTAACTTCAGCAGACTCTACTATGCATTGATCTGGATGATCCCATTATGGTCTACAGTGGTGAAAAGGTTAATTTGTTGTAAGGACACAAGACCCTGAACAAAGAAGAATTCATGTAAAGTGTATAAGATTATATCTAATACGTATTTAATTATCTTCAAATAGGAGTTGCCGGACGATGACACAATGGCTGACATGTATCTGGAAGCAGTGAAGGTGAGTCAGTTTCTGCTTGTTTAGATTTAGGCCCAAGGGAGACAAACTAGTGAGTTATCTCCCTTGAACATGTGTATTGAAACTTAAAGATAAGTAAAAAGTAGATTTAACAGCAGAGCTGTTTCCTTCTGTTATTTAAAAGTTAAAGAATTGAAAGAGCTTAGTTAACATCCTTGATCCTTTATTTTGATAATCAGTTGAGAGGGAAATGGCTGAATTTATTATCCGATTGTAATAAATATATATAATATTTGCAAGTGCACTAACAATTTACAGAAAAAAATATGTTCTTTGCATAAACAAACTGATTATCACTTATTTTCCTGTCTACGTATTAACTTGACCAAGTCTTCAGACATATTAGACTTGCTTAAGTCCATAAACAAGAAAATAGTTGTATCGACTGGAAGCCTGTCTAACAGTACGACAAACATAAGCCAAGGGAGACAAACAGCTAAGTTATCTCCCCTGCTCATATATCTTGAAGGAATGAAGATGAGTTGAAGTAGATAAAACATCTGGTCTCCCATTAACATGTACTTTGTAACCATGATTTTGAATCACTGGAGACAAAATCAGGGGTACATACAGTGTAGTATCACGATCAGGCAGTGGGATACCGCAGTAGGCCAATCCAGTGATGACTAGTGTTGGGAATTGCTTCGAAATTCAGGATTGATTCAATAAATGAAATGGAAATTAATAGAGAAGATTCACTAAAATGGGTAAAATGTGATGGATACATTTTAAATACCTTGCTATAGGCAGAAATGTTTGAATTCAGTTTGTGTTAAAACATGTGAGTAATATTGAGAACTGTGTTTTTAAGTTTTCAGGTCTGCTCCAAATTCTAATAACTCTAGAAAATTTCATGTTACAGTTCAACCTCGATCATTGTAGGACTTAAAACGACTTATCATTGATTAAATTGATTAATTAGAACAACACTAGTGATGACTGAAGGATTGCTAAGATTAGGTTCAGTAGTCTGAAAGTTTGAATAAAATAAAATATACATTTTGAATTTGTTTTTGTGTGAAAGAGTTATACAAAATTATCTAAAAAAAAAGGTTAATTTGATAATCTACTTTTTCAGACTTTGGAAAAGCATGGCTTTGAACAGTATGAAGTATCTAACTTTGCCAAAAAGGTAAGTTTTAATACCTTTAATCAGTTACGATTCATATGACATGGAGCTTTTGAAGCCAGCATACACAGTTGTATTAGATGTGTTATTATATTTTGTTATAGTTATTTTCAAGTACAGGAACCAAATACACACTGGTAAAGGAAAACATTCCGAATCCCAGCCTATTGTTAGGGTACTTAAGCTACAGAAGAACGGCTAAAATTGAATGCGGTAAAAGAGATGTTGTAGTTTTTGTGCTAATGACATTTTACGGAGATCATAAATAGTATAACAGTTTTAGGATCTGGTTTATCACTGTCAATCCAAGGGTCCATATTAACACATTACCCCGAATATGTTTATGGTGAAGCTTATTTTCACATATTTACAATAAATACAATTGAAGACAATTTCAGGAACCTGCATACATGTAGTTAATATACCTAAGCATCAATAAAATATGTGTTTCTCTGTTAAAATCAATCATTTTCTTCACTGTAACTTTTATATATCACAACATTTTATACAAAAAAAAAGAATTAAACTCGAGCAGTTGTTTGAATTCTATTTTCAACCTTTAAGCTGTCACCCAATTTTTTTTTTTAAATCATGAAAATTACTTAAAAAATAATTTAATTCAATATAACTTCAAAATATAATTTGGAGGAAAAATAACAATATCCAATGATTAGAAAAAAAGTACAATTGTACACTAAAGGCTACAATCAGGAAACTGCATATCAACAGAGACAAAGACATGGAACGGTACTAATTTCTCTAGGGCCACAATTGTGCTATAGAAGTAAGAACAGACAGCAGAATACAAAGGAAACATGTTACTATGTAGCCTGTAATATGTTACTATGTAGCCTGTAAGGTTAGGAATACAGACAGCAGAATACAAAGGAAACATGTTACTATATAGCCTGTAAAGTTAGGAATACAGACAGCAGAATACAAAGGAAACATGTTACTATGTAGCCTATAAGGCTAGGAATACAGACAGCAGAATACAAAGGAACCATGTTACTATGTAGAATGTAAGGCTAGGAATACAGACAGCAGAATACAAAGGAAACATGTTACTATATAGCCTGTAAAGTTAGTAATACAGACAGCAGAATACAAAGGAAACATGTTACTATATAGCCTGTAAAGTTAGTAATACAGACAGCAGAATACAAAGGAAACATGTTACTATATAGCCTGTAAAGTTAGGAATACAGACAGCAGAATACAAAGGAAACATGTCACTATGTAGCCTGTAAGGCTAGGAATACAGACAGCAGAATACAAATGAAACATGTTACTATGTAGCCTGTAAGGCTAGGAAGACAGACAGCAGAATACAAAGGAAACATGTTACTATGGAGCCTGTAAGGTTAGGAATACAGACAGCAGAATACAAAGGAAAGATGTTACTATGTAGCATGTAAAGTTAGGAATACAGACGGCAGAATACAAAGGAAACATGTTACTATGTAGCACGTAAGGTTAGGAATACAGACAGCAGAATACAAAGGAAAGATGTTACTATGTAGCATGTAAAGTTAGGAATACAGACGGCAGAATACAAAGGAAACATGTTACTATGTAGCCTGTAAGGCTAGGAAGACAGACAGCAGAATACAAAGGAAACATGTTACTATATAGCCTGTAAAGTTAGTAATACAGACAGCAGAATACAAAGGAAACATGTTACTATGCAGCCTGTAAGGTTAGGAATACAGACAGCAGAATACAAAGGAAAGATGTTACTATGTAGCATGTAAAGTTAGGAATACAGACGGCAGAATACAAAGGAAACATGTTACTATGTAGCCTGTACGGCTAGGAATACAGACAGCAGAATACAAAGGAAACATGTCACTATGTAGCCTGTAAGGCTAGGAATACAGACAGCAGCATACAAAGGAAACATGTTACTATGTAGCCTGTAGGGCTAGGAATACAGACAGCAGAATACAAAGGAACCATGTTACTATGTAGAATGTAAGGCTAGGAATACAGACAGCAGAATACAAAGGAACCATGTTACTATGTAGAATGTAAGGCTAGGAATACAGACAGCAGAATACAAATGAAACATGTTACTATGTAGCCTGTAAGGTTAGGAATACAGACAGCAGAATACAAAGGAAACATGTTACTATGCAGCCTGTAAGGTTAGGAATACTTCAAAATGCTTGTAAAAACACTATAGAAATACAGTCCATTTCCATTTTACAAAGTGTATGTTTAGAGATAGCCCAGGTAATCTGGAAAGTGTAGAAAAATGGTACTTTATTGAAAGTATTTATTTCAAAGTTTTGCCTTAGGGTGACAGCTGGTAGGTTGAAATAGAATCATAACTGTACATGCTAGTATTGTTTTGTCTTTTGTGATAACTGTGACATTACTTTGAGGGGATGATCAATTAATGACTGTTCTGCGCCTAATTATGATATTACACCGTACAACAGGCAGATGAATTAATATTGCTTGATAGTTTCCTTAGACTAGCTTGAATATTTATGAACTGATTGTCACAAAACCTTGACATAAAGAGTGTTTTTGGGAGATACATGTTCAATCTGCTTTTGAAAATAAGTGTAATTTGTGTATATTAGTGTTACTTCATACAGCTGACTTTTCATCAACTTTTGCCATAAGGTATACAGTTGAGGTGATTCATGCCTTTGAATAAAGCCCTGATCTGTTCAAATTTAATGTTGTATTTTTGGCAACTGATATCTAATTGGACAATAGGTTCCATATAGGTTAGCTTAAACAAGTATTGACCAAAATGTCATAAGGAATGCTTTGGGAGGATACAGAATTGGATCCTTCATACTTTATATGTGCTGGTGGCTGGCTCTCTGTGAACTGCTATAGTTACTGTCTGATATGAGAGTTTGCAGTAATAATGTTTCCTAATTCTGATGTTCCTGGGTCAGATAGGCAACTGTGGACTGCCCTACAATATTTTGCCTTAATCAGTGCATTATAAAACAAAGCCAAGTCAATGTCCCAAATAAAGCAAAGTATTAATGACAACCTAGTCACCCAGCAATAAACTGTGTGTGTATTTTGCCTTAACTGGTACATTGACCTGACTTATATAACTGTATCTAAACTGGCTTTATTGTCTCAAAAAGAGTGGTTTTGGCTGTGAAATTTCTGTCAATCCAGTGAACATGTACAAATGTGTATGTGGTGTGTGATTTTAGGGAGCAAGGAGTGACCACAACACAGCCTACTGGACAGGACAGCAGTACATAGGAGTAGGACCAGGTACATTGTAGGAGTATCGGTATTGATTCACAGTTCCTCTGAATCTATTTCTGTCAGTTGGCCCTCATCTGTAAACTTTTTCTTTAAATGACTTCTTCTCAGAAACCTCTGGACAGATTTCAACAAATTTGGAGGAATTATTCCTTTGTGATGTAGATGGTTATTAGATTTGTGGGCCAATGAGCGGTAAAATATTTAGCTATCCTAAAAATCTTCTAATAAACAGTAAATCTGATGGTTTTGATAATTTATGTAGCTTCCTCAGTATATGATCTACAACTCTTGCAAAGGAAAGCAAAATCTAAATTGAGCCACTGGATAGTGTATAGCAACAAATTGTACAATATTTGCATCTTAAAACACTCAAACATCTTATCATGAAGAACAAAAAGGCTAAGAGTAATGATATAGGGTCGAAGTTTACTTAAAGAAATGATCTTTATCAATATTCAGAGTCACAGGGATCAAATTAAAAAAAATATCTCAAGTGACTTCTTTAGAAGAAACAAAAAAGGTCTTGAGCATGATTTAAGGCAATAATCTTGTGGGCATGCATGAAGTGCTACAAAGTTGCTAAAAAAATATCTTGACCCTACATAAGATCACAGGTATAAAGTTAAAAAAATGAAAGGCCAAATAAATAAGGTGAGTAGTTTCAAGTCTGTGGGGCCTCTTGGATAAATAAAGGAGTGAGACTAGGTATTCATGGGCAGATGTGGGATTTATAAAGACAGAAGAAATGAACTGGGTAGTTATGGATAGGTATAGAAGATTAGATAATACTAGCCGAAGGATCATCCCTCGTCTGCCTTTGTCCTTCGTCCACCATTGTTATGTGGACATTTTTTTTAATTTTTGACTCCTTCTCTTAAACCATAAAACAAGTTTTGACCAAATGTTTTGTAAAAGCATCATTAGGATAAGGGGAACAAAGTCTCCTAATAAGGTGTCCAACGCCATCATAGGGGCTGAAGGACATGGCAGGGCCTAAAAGATGTAGTTTCAAAAATTCTTCTCCAGAAAATCTAGAGACATCCGAGCTCAGATTTTCAATTCATATAATGTTTTAGGGGCAATGAATAAAGATTTCTTACAGTTGGTCCCAAATGGGGCCAAACCATGTATCTTCTATAGACAGATGTATCGGAGAGAAGTTTTCAAATCCCAAAATTAATACCTTATGGACTTGCCAAAGATAAAATTCATAATATGCCTGAGACTTCAACAAATATAATGTTGATGGATTTAGGTTGGTTCTGATACAGAATTTATTTGTGGGTCCAATATGTATATTTTTTTTAACATTCAAAAGTACTAAATCGGAAATTACAACAGGTTTAAGACTAAAGCATAAAATGTCACATGAACCTGCCAAGGAAAATATCACACAGGTTATAATAAAGGGAGAAAATATGAATGCTTTTATGTCAGAAGTAGGATAGGGATGAAGAAGGTATATAGGCAGGTGTAGGATTCACAGTGTGACCTTTATTTTCGGTAGGAGCTCATGGCCGGTTTGTCCCGCGTGGTTTGAGGCGCACTATTAGGGAAGCTCGGATACAAACCCTAGAGCCCCTTAATTGGATGTTTGAGGTAGAGAGGGATGGTCATGCGACACGTCGAGTGGTGGAACAGACAGACATAGATATGTAAGTATATATTCTGTCAAACTAGACTCTAAGGGCCATTAGAGGTTATAGAGTGCAAAATTTCAGAATACTTTTTTGAAACTTACTGGTGCATTTGCACCGAGATTTCATAACATGATGCTTAGATGTTGAGAATCCGAATTATTCTCAAAGAAGGGGCTGACTCCCCAGGTGGCCAAGAAGGTTACAGGGTGCAAAACTTTCACAAGATACTGCTCTGAAACTTACTGGTGTGTTGTAATGAAAAATTCATAAAACAAGCCCTAGCTGAACTGCTGAGTCATTGTTGGTGTAAGGGAAATAACTCTTGTAGGTTTCATTTATGTGTAAAGGCTAAGTAAAGAAGATAATTAGCATTTTTGTCATTTCAGAAAATTAAAGATATTAAGTATTTTAATTTTATATTTAATATGAATATTAAATAGAAATATATATTTTAGTGTGACCCCACTACCCAGGGGCCAATGGGGTGTGGTCTTATGTCTTAAATTTAAAGAATGTTGTCATCCTCACCCCATAACAATTGCATTGACATGAAGTGACAAGTTCACCCTTGCTACCAGGATTGGCTCAGGGATCTGATTCTCCCATGGGGACTTCATCTCTGGAGTCATAAGTTTGAAATGGTTGATAACCCCAACCCAATTACATTGTAAACACTTACTTTTCTTGAAAAGACCAAAACAGCAATGCTACCAGGATTGGTATTTGGGTCTGAACTAATTCCTGGGGACTCAGGCCCTGGGTGATAATATGGAAAATGGTTGAGATCCACACCCCATAATCATGCATACACTTATTTGGATCAAAGAAATAAACACAACCATGCAATCAGCTCTGAAATCCAAACCCACCCCTGAAATTAATCTCGGATATCCTTGTTTTTTCTGCCAGTGTACAATTTAAATGCCCTTTTCCTTTTCAACTATTATTGTTTGCATTAATTTTAAAAAGTGAAAATCACTGCAACTTATTTGTTCAAATTAACCTTACACTCTTTAACTTAATAAGGCTTGTGACAGTTTCTATATCCAGTTGCTAAAATGTTGTAACAGTGATCTAACTTCTGGCCAAATCTGATGCTGTCCATTACTCAGGTGACTGTTAAGGCACTTTGGGCCTTTTGTTTCTATTTCCCAACTCTCAAAGAGACAGATGGGGGGAAAATCACACACTTTTTCAGCTGGGAATGGGTCGCTTTAATGGTTCTAAACATTCCCTGCTAAACCACTGTTGTTACACTAAAGTTAGATACTTTATTATACAGTTTAAGTATAGGGTTGAGGGATATTGCAAGTTTCTGGTGTCCCGAGACCAGGTCTATTTCCCGAGGCTTCGCCTCGGGAAATAGGCATGGTCAAGGGACAACAGAAACTTGCTATATCCCTCAACCCCATACTTTAACTGTTTTATTATACCGATACAAACTGGAGAGATAGTTTTAACAAGAAATATTTGTAAACCATAAGCTGTATAGCTTTACGTTCCAACTACCTTTTTGATGGCAATGGAACCAAATGCTTCCGAGTTCGGTAGCAAGCTCTGCCCACCTCATGTGTCGCTTTCGAGTTCGGTAACAAGCTCCGCCCACCTCTAGCCTGATTGGCTCGGCAGAAACACCCGAGTGTAGGTGTGTTTTAGTTCCCAGACTAACACACAGGACTAAAACACAGTCAGGCAAAAGCGGGGATATATTCGATTTATCCAATTACTTTTATATAGAGTAAATAAAGTAGTGGTATATTAAACAAAAATAAACAACAATACTCTATTATCAGTGATTTTTTCTGATAATTTTTCAGTTTGAAAGAATTAGTTGCTCTGGGCCTAAGGACAAAGGAAGGAGTTACACAAGAGGTAAATAACATAACCATTGCTATTGACTGTTGACTAATGGTGTTAGTAACAGCCATCACCATTGGCTGTTGGCTTTATCTCTTCTAACACAGTAAGTAATGGTTGATTTCACCACTACCACCACCAGCCATGGTTGATATAATATCTTACACCACCAATCATGACAAATGTCATCACTAGCACCACCAGTCATGGTTAATATCATCACTAGCACCACTTATCATGGTTAATATCATCACTAACACCACCAGTCATGGTTAATATCACCACTAACACCACCAGCCATGGTTGATATACTATCTTACACCACTAATCATGGTAAATGTCAACACTAGCACCACCAGTCATGGTTAATATCATCACTAGCACCACTTATGATGGTTAATATCATCACTAACACCACCAGTCATGGTTAGTATCATCACTAACACCACCAGCTGTCATGGTTATTATCATCACTAACACCACCAGTCATGTTTAATATCATCACTTACACCACCAACTATCATGGTAAATATCATCACTAGCACCACCAGTCATGGTTAATATCATCACCAACACCACCAGTCATGGTTAATATCACCACTAACACCACCAGTCATGGTTAATATCATCACTTACACCACCAGTCATGGTTAATATCACCACTAACACCACTAGTCATGGTTAATATCATCACTAGCACCACCAGTCATGGTTAATATCAACACTAACACCACCAGTCATGGTTAGTTTCATCACTTACACCACCAATCATGGTTAATATCATCACCAACTCCACGAGTCATGGTTAATATCATCACTAGAACCACCAGTCATGGTTAATATCAACACTAACCCCACCAGTCATGGTTAATATCAACACTAACACCACCAGTCATGGTTAGTATCATCACTAACACCACCAGCTGTCATGGTTAATATCATCACCACCACTACCAGTCATGGTTAATATCACCACTTACACCACCAGTCCTGGTTAATATCATCACCAACAGCACAAGTCATGGTTAATATCATCCCCAACACCACCAGTCATGGTTAATATCAACACTAACCCCACCAGTCATGGTTAATATCACCCCTAACACCCCAAGTCATGGTTAATATCATCACTAGCGCCACAAGCTGTAATGGTTAATATCATCACTAACATCACCAGCCATGGTTAGTATCATCACTAACACCACCAGCTGTCATGGTTAATATCATCACCACCACCCCCAGTCATGGTTAATATCACCCCTTACACCACCAGTCCTGGTTAATATCAGCACTAGCACCACCAATCATGGTTAATATCATCACTAGAACCACCAGTCATGGTTAATATCACCCCTTACACCACCAGTCCTGGTTAATATCAGCACTAGCACCACCAATCATGGTTAATATCATCACACACTAACACCACCAGTCATGGTTAGTATCATCACTAACACCACCAGCTGTCATGGTTAATATCATCACCACCACTACCAGTCATGGTTAATATCACCACTTACACCACCAGTCCTGGTTAATATCATCACTAGCACCACCAGTCATGGTTAATATCACCACTAACACCACCAGTCCTGGTTAATATCATCACTAGCACCACCAATCATGGTTAATATCATCACTAGCACCACCAGTCATGGTTAATATCATCACTAACACCACCAGTCATGGTTAATATCATCACTAGCACCACCAATCATGGTTAATATCATCACTAGCACCACAAGCTGTAATGGTTAATATCATCACTAACATCACCAGCCATGGTTAGTATCATCACTAACACCACCAGCTGTCATGGTTAATATCATCACTAACACCACCAGTCATGGTTAATATCATCACTAACACCACTAATCATGGTTAATATCATCACTAGCACCACAAGTCATGGTTAATACCATCACTAACACCACTAATCATGGTTAATATCATCACTAACACCACCAGTCATGGTTAGTTTCATCACTTACACCACCAATCATGGTTAATATCATCACCAACACCACCAGTCATGGTTAATATCATCACTAGCACCACTTATCATGGTTAATATCATCACTTACACCACCAATCATGGTTGACCTCATCCATAACACCTTTAGTCTTTGTTGATATCATCACTAACACCACTTATCATGGTTAATATCATCACTAACACCACCAGTCATGGTTAATATCATCACTAGCACCACTTATCATGGTTAATATCATCACTAACACCACTAATCATGGTTAATATCATCACTAGCACCACTAATCATGGTTAATACCATCACTAACACCACTTATCATGGTTAATATCATCACTAACACCACCAATCATGGTTGAGCTCACCACTAACACCACCAATCATGGTTGATCTCATCCCTTACACCTCTAGTCTTTGTTGATATCACCACTAACATCACCAGCCATGGTTGATCTCACCACTAACACCACCAATCATGGTTAATATCATCACTAACACCACCAGTCATGGTTAATATCATCACTAGCACCACTTATCATTGTTAATATCATCACTTACACCACCGGTCATGGTTGATCTCACCCCTAACACCACCAGTCATGGTTGATATCATCACTAATACCACCAGTCATGGTTAATATCATCACTAACACCACCAGTCATGGTTAATATCATCACTAGCACAACCAATTATGGTTGATATCACACAACTAACACCACCAATCATGGTTAATATCATCACTAGCACCGCCAGTCCTGATTAATATCATCACTAGCACCACCAGTCATGGTTAATCACACAACTTACACCACCAATCATGGTTAATATCATCACTTACACCAACAGTCATGGTTTATATCATCACTAACACCACCAATCATGGTTGAGCTCACAACTAACACCACCAATCATGGTTGAGCTCACCACTAACACAACCAATCAGGGTTGATCTCACTACTAACACCACCAATCATGGTTGATATCACTACTAACACCACCAATCATGGTTGATCTCACTACTTACACCACCATTCATGGTTGATCTCACTACTAACACCACCAATCATGGTTGAGCTCACCACTCCAGTCATGGTTAATATCATCACTAGCACCACCAGCCATGGTTAATATCATCACCAACACCACCAGTCATGGGTAATATCATCACTAGCACCACCAGTCATGGTTAATCACACAACTTACACCACCAATCATGGTTAATATCATCACTTACACCAACAGTCATGGTTTATATCATCAATAACACCACCAATCATGGTTGAGCTCACAACTAACACCACCAATCATGGTTGATCTCACCACTAACACCGCCAATCATAGTTGATCTCACTACTAACACCATCAATCATGGTTGATCTCATCCATAACACCTCTAGTCATTGTTGATATCACCAACAACAGCACCAATCATGGTTGATCTCACTACTAACACCACGAATCATGGTTGAGCTCACCACTAACACCACCAATCATGGTTGATCTCCCTACTTACACCACCAATCATGGTTGATCTCACTACTAACACCACCAATCATGGTTGATCTCCCTACTTACACCACCATTCATGGTTGATCTCACTACTAACACCACCAATCATGGTTGATCTCATCCATAACACCTCTAGTCATTGTTGATATCACCAACAACAGCACCAATCATGGTTGATCTCACTACTTACACCACCAATCATGGTTGATCTCACCACTAACACCACCAATCATGGTTGATCTCATCCATAACACCTCTAGTCATTGTTGATATCGCCAATAACACCACCAATCATGGTTGATCTCACTACTAACACCACCAATCATGGTTGAATTCACTACTAACACAACCAATCATGGTTGAGCTCAACAAACACCTCTAGTCATTGTTGATATCACCAACAACACCACCACTCATGGTTGGTCTATTCCCTCATCTATTTTGTTTCCAGAGTTGGAGTGAGCGTTGTCCTAATCATACTCTCCGGTCAGTGTTTGAAGGGCCAGCAGTCGTCTCACTGATCAGTCAACAATTCCTCATCCTTGACAACAGGTAGAGACATTATGTATTTCTGCTGTTTACACTGTAAATATATACCACACCACACTATCTTTATTTCTGTTGTGTAAACTGGTGCTCAAGTTCTCTAATGACCAAGGATTGTTAAAATATGGATGGATATACAATCATTTTTAGCTCACCTGCCCAAAGGGCAAGTGAGCTTATGCCATGGTGCAGCGTCCATCGTCCGTTCATCGTCCGGCGTCCGTCTTTTTGCTTTAAACAACTTCTTTTCAGTAACCAAAAGGCCAAGGATGATGATATTTGGCCAGTAGCATGCTGGGATGAAGGGCTACCAAGTTTGTTCAAATAAATGGCATTGACCCACTTTCGAGGTCACAGGGGTCAAATATGTTAAAATCTTCAAACAAATTCTTCTCAATAACCAAAAGGCCCAGGGTACTGATATTAGGCCTGTAGCATGCTGGGATAAAGGGCTACCGAGTTTGTTCAAATGAATGACCTTGACCCACTTTCAAGGTCACTGGGGTCAGATGTCTTAAAATCTTCAAACAACTTCTTCTCAATAACCAAAAGGCCCAGGGTACTGATATTGGGCCTGTAG